AATATAACAGTTGAGCGACCGTGCTAGAACCACGGAACTCGGGAATGCCTAACACCTTCTCCCGGGTTAACAGAATTCCTTATCTAGATTTCTGGTACGCAGACTGTAATATAGAGTCATTATTTTCCTCGATTCGGGATTAAAATTGGTGACTTGGGACACCCTAAATCTCCCAAGTGGCGACTCTGAAATAAACAAATAAATCCCGTTTCGATTGTCCTTTAATTGGAAAAAACTCCCATGCGCCCCGCGGGCGCAGAAAAAGGAGGTGTGACAACTATAATCGAGTCCAAATATCTGAGTATACCCTTTGGCAACAAGACGAGCCTTAAGTCGATCAACCTGGCCATCTGGACCAACTTTGACTGCATACACCCAACGACAACCAACAGTCGATTTACCCAAAGGAAGAGGAACAAGCTCCCAAGTACCACTCGTATGTAAAATAAACATCTCGTCAATCATAGCCTGTCGCCACCCGGGATGAGACATTGCTTCACCTATAGACTTAGGAATGGAAACAAAGGACTAAGATGACACAAATGCACAATGGGATGATGACAGACGATGGTAACTTAAACCGACATAGTGAGGATTAGGATTAAGTGTGGACCGTATACCTTTTCGTAGTGCAATTGGTTGATCAAGAGGAGACAAGTCCGTAGTTTTAGCAAGGTCAGGTGCAGGATGTGAATCAGCTGGGCCTGATCCTGATCCTGATGCAGGCGACAATGATAAGTCAGGAGTGGTGGAGCTGTAGAATGTTGAATTGGACTAGGTGGTGGCACTGGAGCTATAGTTGGTGGAACTGGACTAGGTGGTGACACTAGAGCTATAGGTGGTGGAGGTGCAACTGGAGCTGTAGGTGGTGGAGGTGCAACTGGAGCTATGGAGGAAAATGAATGGGAGATAGTGATTGAATCTCCAAAAGACGGAACTGGTAGCACCTCAGAAATATCTAAGTGATTAACTGGACCCGTGAAGTATGATTGAGTTTCAAAGAAAGTAACATCAACAGACATAAGAAATCGCTGGAGGTCAGGAGAAGAGCACAAAGAGCTAACTTATCTTTTCCTGGAGTAAGGTCATGAACAAAACACATACTACCAAAGACACAGGGTGGAAGAGAGAACAAAGGTAAGTGGGAAAACATGAATGGTACTTGATTCTGGATAGCTGAAGATGACATATGATTAATAAGATAGCAAGATGTAAGAACTGCATCCCCCCAAAAACGCAGCGGAACATGAGATTGTATGAGTAGGGTACGAGCAGTTTCAATAAGATGCCTATTCTTTCTTTCAGCTACCTCATTTTGTTGGGACGTGTACGAACAAGATGTTTGATGAATAATCCCATATGAGTTCATAAACTGCTGAAATAGGGAATGCTACTCTAGGGAATTATCACTACGAAATGTGCGGGTGGAAACCCCAAATTGATTTTGAATTTCAGCGTGGAAGGTCTGGAAAATAGAAAACAACTTAGATCGATTTTTCATCAAAAATATCCAAGTGCACCTGGAATAATCATCAATGAAACTGACAAAGTAGCGGAATTCCAAGGTAGAACTGGCTCGACTAGGACCCCAAACATCTGAATGGACTAAAGTAAAAATCTGACTCTGCTCGATTATCAAGACGCCGTGGGAAATGGGAGCAGGTATGCTTACCGAGCTGACATGACTCACACTCTAGAGTGGACTTGCTTGACCTATTGCAGTTTCCATGGTTTGAGACCCATTGGCCATTGTGACTGTTGAAAGAGATTGAGAATATGAAATACTAGTAAAAAGAGATTTATTTCCAAAAATATGATCAGATGCACCTGAATTAATGACCCAAGACTCAGAAGTTGAAGATTGGGAGATACAAGTCATGCTACTATCTGTTGGAATAACGGAGGCTAATCCTGAAGATGCCTGCTTACGTGCTTTGTACTGAAGGAACTCAATATAATCCTGTAAAGAAACCATTTGGATTGGATTCAATGCATTCGATCCAACGGATTGTGTGTTTAAGGCTTCTAATAAGAATGACATTATAATGTTCACGCCGGAAAAAAATCAGAAACCCTTCTGGAAATTACTATTAACGGAAAAATCCGAAAATTTTCTGAAAATCACTGTTCACGCTGGAAATCACTGTTCACACCTGAAAAATATAAAAGTTGTCGGAATTAGGTTTAAATTGGATGGTTAGGATCGGAATTGCAAGACGATTACACTGTCCAAAAGAAACTATTTTAAATTCTGGCCGAAACAGCCCTCACGCGCCGGCGCGTGGGACAGACACGCCGCCGGCGGCAGAACTCTGGCAGATCGGAAGCCAAGGCCTACAGACG